AAGGTGCATATATCCTTCAGCTGATGCAAGCACATTTAAAAATGTATCCCGCCAAGATAAATCACTATCCATCTGAAACCCACAAAAATGGATTAACTATCTCATGCTTTATGACTATGAAAACCCACATCTGCTAACCACATTACTAATGAGAAGCAGCTGGTGACAGTTTTGTAGCTCTGTGACTTTCTTTTTAGGAAAATATTAGCAAGGACATACTAAGCAGAAGGCTAGTTTCTTTGAATCCACTTAGTTATGGAAAATTACCATCGTTTTTAAATTGACAATCATGGAAATAACATAATTTGTCATGAAATTCATATAAGGTTCCAAAATAAAAATCCCCTTTTCCCCAATATTAGTTCTGACAGAATTTCCAGTACCTCATAAGACTTGCAGTCTTATAATCAGCTTCAATCCGTTTTGTCTTTTTAAAAATATGTATTTTTATTGACTTCAGAGGAGAGATAGAACCATCAATGATGAGAAAGAATCACTAATTGGCTGCTTCCTGCACGCCCCCTACTGGGGCCTGAGCCGGCAACCCAGGGCATATGGCCTGACTGGGAATCAAACCGCGACCTCTTTGTTCACAGATGGATGCTCAAACACTGAGCCATACCGGCCAAGCTCAACGCCTATTTTTCATATGCTATTGAACACCAAATCACGTTTATTGATGCATATGGTATTTCTAGGCCTTTGTCCCACAACTTTAACTCCCTCTGGAATCGGTTAACGAAATAGCCAATTGCGGGGATCAATGGGCATTTTTAATGTGCTATTCCTTTGAATATGAGTGGTTCACAACTGTGTTTTCCACTGAATGACCATTTTTAACCAACCTTCAAGGCTCACCCCTACCAGTCTTATTCCTCACTACACGCTGGCTTAAGAGTTCTTTATCCAAATCTACTTATCTTTTTTACATACTTCTCTAAGATGCTTAGCTTTCCTCTGTGGAAACTGCTCTACTCTTACTTTTCCCGGCAACCTCACCTGGTTCTTAATTACTATCAACCAGGGAAGCTGCTTCCCTGCAGGGAGGGGTGTTTGCTTGAATGAGACATGCATGCTCTCAGTCCTATGGTAGGCACTGCCTGCCCTCTCGGCCTCATTTTCCTCCATTTCTAAAACATGCTGGGTACTAACCATGTGCAACTTCTGGCAGTCCCTTGGACAGGCTATGTTCTCTCTGGCTTCAGGCTTTTGCACTGAGAATGCTCCAGGGATGCATTTTTTCTTCTCTTTTCCACCTTGCTAAGTACCACCTATTTCTCGAAGTTATTAGCTTAAGGACCATCTCCTCCTACCTTCAACCCTGCTGATTAAGTGCCCCTTCTCTATGCTCATCTCTCCTACAGCTTCACTGATCTACTTGTTACAACTGGGTGGTAAGCTTCTTGAGGGCTGGGGTTCTCTTCTCATCTGTTGTTGGTACATAGCATATAGTAGGCACTCACTGTAGGTGGAGTATTAAGTTCTTTAACTCCCCGAAGACAAAGGACTGACACAAAGCTAGGCCTTACTAGCTTGGTCTGTGCTGTTCAATACAAAAGCCACTAGCCAAACATGGATATTTACATTAAAATAAAAAAAATTCAGTTCCTTCATCATGTTAGCCACATTTTCAAGTGCTGAACAGCCACATGTGGCTAGTAACTATTTTATTGTACACTACGGATTCAGAACATTTCCACCACTACAGACAGTTGTGCCGATCTATATCATAAAATACTTTGAAATACGAACAAAAAAGACAACAAACGTTATGGATATGCACAAACGTTATGGATATGCACAAACATCCAAAACACATACAAAATGAGCAATCTCAATAGTAAGTAGGCAAATGCAAAATAAAACATTAGTTTTCACCCATCAGATGGGCTAAAACGAAAACTTAGCACTACATTGGCAAGATGTAAGAAAATGAGTACTGTTCAAACACTGTTGCTGGAAATACCTCCACTCCCCAGGCAACTAAAAGTGAAAGAAAACCGGCACAGTGTGAGTTAGCAATTTCACTCCCAGGAATTAACCCTAGAGAAACCTCACTAGGCGGGCATTAGCAGACAATGGACTAGGCTGTTCACTGCAACACTCTATATGATTTACACACAAGACTGCCCATCTAGAGCTAACTCAAGTGCTCATCCAGAGCAAGAAATGCTAAAACACCTTCCCTGTTATCAATGAAATGAAAAATCCTTTGTATACCGTGCCTGCTAATCATATGATTGGGTCCCTTCAGCCAAGAGACAGCGGGAGAATAACCGTAAGAACACCATCCTGGCCTCTAACAAACCACGTGTGACCACTGCAAAAAAGCCGCCTCTTCTCCTCTTAGTCTCCGCTGCCATGAATATAAAAATGAGGCCAAGAAACACAAGGTTTCTTTCACAAACCTCTGCTTCCTTCCCATCCCTTCCTCCAACCAGAACAATTCTACTTTTATCTATATCATATATTGCAGTTCAGAATGAAGTTCCATTTCAAGAAAGTTTTGATGCTTAAAAAAACACCCACACTAGATGGTCTCTAACTTTTTTCCAATATTCCAGTATAATTTGCTGTAATCTCCAAGGTGAAGGGTACATTAGCCATTCAGAAATCAGATTACTAACTACATGAAAAAACTGTTTTGTTGGCTTTAAAAAAATTATTGATTTCAGAGAGGAAGGGAGAGGGAGAGAGATAGAAATATCAATGATGACAAAGAATCATTGATCAGCTGCCTCCGTCCCCCCCCCTACTGGGGATCGAGCCTGCAACCCGGGCATGTGCCCTTGACTGAAATCGAACCCAGGACCCTTCAGTCCGCCGGCCGATGCTCTATCCACTGAGCCAAACTAGTTAAGGCAGAGAAAACTGTTTTTAAAGCATTTGAGTCAGGTCAGGAAAAAAAAAAAAAAGAGGCTTTTTCTAGGTATCAGATCAAAATTTTTCTGTGGAACCCAAATATGAGCTAGTCTGCAAAATGCCCGAAACAGAAACATAATGTGTTTCAGTTACACAATCCCCAAAGCAAAAATCACCCCAAAACATGGGCACTGACGTGTCCTTTTAATACTGCTTTGCCTTTCCTTCCCCAAATTCCCTCACTTGCCCCAATCAGTTTCTCCTTCATTTGTATTCAAAGTTCTCTACTCAGGAAGAATTTCAAGGCTCAAAGCTCCTACTTCCCATACCATTTATGGAAATCCAAGTCTCTGGCTGGAAATGTTGCAAAGGAATGCTTTCTACTTTCAGAGGTTTTACATCTTCACTCAGATGGTCTGTGGGCCCTCTCTGTCAGAATGACACCCTCCAAGGTCCACAAGGTTTCAGAATGTTTAAGGTTAAGTAAATCAAGTCATAAACTAGCCTCCAGTTAATAAAGAGTCTCTGAATTTATAGCTCTACAGTCAGTTAAAAGCAAGTGAGTTAATATTTAAGGCATCCCCGCCTCCCTCTGGTCACATTCAATGTAGACCAGTGACTTGAACTTTGGTTTCAACTACACAAAACACATAAGACACTTCTTAGACAAGGCAGGATCTTCTAGTCCATTGAAAGTTTGTAACACTCCAGTCAAATGCAGACGAGGAGAACATGCCACACTAAAGACATTTATTCAAGAGGAAAGTTACTTTACACAGAGGGCCTAGAATTTTGCATCTGCTTATTTAAGTCAGCCCTGATTATCACTGTAAACTGTCTGAACAGGTCGGGCCAAGAAGTTGTGTCCATTATAAACCTTGTTGTTCCCTCTCAGCAAACGAGCCTGAAATAGGCTGTCCTTTATGTTATAATGTATTGGGGCTTTCTTTCTCTCTCTCATTACCTATTAATTCTCCTCCCACACCTGTACTTTAAATTCTCACATTTTTTCTTTTCCAGACTCCATCTTAGCAAAATGTTTTTTCACCAGCTTTTTTACTCATGATGTCATCAGAACGCACATACTTCTCTGCCTATACCACAACCCTTCATGCCCCAAACAAACACACAAACAAAACCACACATACTGGGTTTCCGCAGGCATGCAACAAAATACACCCACTGAGATGGGAAAGAAATCTATCTGCTCAGTTCAGGTTAAGTATAGTTCTTCACTTTCTCATTTAAAAGATCACAGTAAAACTAGTCAGTCAACACCCACAGGAATAACAATGTCAAAGACAGGAGACAAGGACAGAAAAGGTGAAATACATGACAGGCTTTCTGATTCCCACTTCCACTCCTACTGCTTAACAAAATGCCCAATGTTTCCTGAACCTCTGAAACTGGCATATTAACTAACAAGTGAAAAGAGAGTTAATGGGACTGATACTCCAAAGCCCAGTTTTTTCCTTTTAAATAAAATTAATACCCGGCAACCAAAGGCTTTCTGCTTTTCAGATGGAGCACTGCCGTTAAAATTCTCCCTTGAAACATGGGCTGATGATTGCCAATGGCAGACAGGCTATCTTGGAGAAGCAAGCAGAGCTCCCTGGCCTCCAGGGCAATGTTGGGCAGGCCCCCACGCTGGGCTGCTGGCTGGAGGCTGGCAGACAGTGAAGGTCATCAGCACTCTAAAGCCTCAGGCATGTGTTAGGGAAGACAGGGTAATATTTTTTCTCTCCGAGATTATGGTCTGAAAGCACAACGAGACCCTGAAAAAGTTGCATGAATTTATAGCTACACAGAACATTATCCCAAGTACAAATATCTTGGTGTTTTCTTTTACTCTCATTCAATGAAGGTAAATTACTGCCCATTACTTTGAATGGTAATATTTACGCCTGTCCAGTGTGGCTCAGTTGTTTAGCGTCACTTATGAACCAGGAGGTCCCGGTTCGATTCCTGGTCAGGGCACATGCTTGGGTTGTGGGCTTGATTCACAGTAGGGGATGTGCAGGAGGCAGCCGATCAATGATTCTCTCTCACCATTGATGTTTCTATCTCTCTCTCCCTTTCCTTCCTCTCCGATATCAATAAAAATATATGAATGATAACATTTATAATGACTCTAATTCTAAAGAATAACATTTTTTTATTAACATGATTTGTGAAAACACATAGGGTAGAACAGTTCAAGGAAGGACACAGACAGTGCCCTGTTTTAGGTCCCAAATTTCTTCTTTTTGATGGGTGGTGGGAGTTGAGCGATGATGTCATCCAGGGGCCTTTCTACTGCCACCAGTGTTCTTTCATCCAAAAGATCCATGAAGAGTAGAGGCTGTGGAGAGATGAGAATGACTCTAGCAGGAGTTAGGCTCCACTCACGCCTAGTCCTAAACAGAGAACCTAGAGCTAAACGGTTAATCTAGTTCAAGACTAGAGGGATGTAAATCTCTGACAGCCCTTCCTGCCCTAGGACCCAAAAGGGATGAAAAGGCTGGGAACTTTTAACTGCGTTCACTCAAAAGATTTCAGCAAGGTTTTTCATGTTTCTCTGTACAGAAAATTTAATTTGTTAGAATCAGTGTTAACTGAGGGCTTGGAGCCCAAATTCTTGACAAACGACAAGTTACAAATGCATAAGAAGCTAATCATGCTTGAATAATTCGCAGACCTTCCTCCCCTTAAAAAAAAAAAAATGCATGCAGGCCCCTAAGAAAATGCTCCAGGGCAGCCCATCTGAGAGGCATAAATATGGAACTTCTAAAGTGGCACAAACAGCTAGAATATCATAGGTTCAATGATATGTTTTCTATACAGTGAAAAGCCTAGCCCAGAAAAGAAAGTCATAATAGTCAATGACTTCCATTTGCTGTAAATTATCTTATGGAACATTCTCCAACTAGAGGTCATATTTAAAGGCCAGCTTTACCACAAAGACCCCACCTCAGCTCCAACATTATTCAGCACTACCTACGTATTTCATTTTGGTTAAGTGTGATGTGCCTCTAATCTATTAAAGCAAGAACAATGAAACAGACATAAGGGACACACATCCTCAGAAAGTTACTTGTCTCCCCAAATGAGGTCCTCTGCATGAAAAATGAAGGTGACATTTTGACAGCTTGTTACATTTGGATAATGTCACAAGGAATCAACGGTCCAGAATATTATATAAGATGCTTTACCTTATATCTCTTAGAAATTTTAAAGGCATGGGCTGTGCGCCTCCTGATGACATCTGATTCATTTGTGGGAGGAAGTGGATTGTACAGTAAAGTTTTGTCATTTGGAAGAGGCTAAAAAGACAAAGATACACTGTTTAAGTCGTTTTTATTGGGCTTATACAGAACAATGGACCATAGTGATTTCAGGCAAACACTATCTCCCAACCATCATATACATTTACTTCCTCCCTGACTCTCCTCACTTCAGGAAGACAGCTGTAGTCACTCTTCCTGCTGTACTGTAGAGGGGGGCGTATGAGGCAAAAGGAGCTGGGTACTCGGCCTACAAGATCAAAGAGCCCAGCTGGGGCTTCCGCCAGTCTTGTCAGTAACACTGAGCGACAGGAATAACGGGCATGTGCAGCAGGAGCTTAGCCCATGAAGGCTCTGCTTTCTACACTCCCCCCAACCAGGTCATGGGCTGGCCCAGTGACTAAAGGTCTCCCCAGGAGAAACGGCAACACAACCACCTCCACTGATGTCACCGACACCTCAAGAGATGGCCTCTGGCCAAGCAAGTGATATTTCATCTCTGACTTCCTTGGGAAATAGCTCTGCCCGCAACAGGAAGTGATGGACTTATCACCAATGCCTGGGAAAAAATATGGGCCGATCTGGACTGTGTTACAAAGAGGCAAGCGAGTGGGAGAGGCCCTTCCTGTACCACTCAAATTGCAGAAGGCACTTGTCAGCCAGTTCTACTTCCCACACCCAGAGGACGCAGGGCCCATGAGAAGAGTTCCAGTGACACACCACCACGCACTCTCCTTGAGAGCCATCTGCTGCTTTCTCCATGTTCTTTCCACCCCCACCCTCAGATATACAACACTGTGTGTGTTGCTTGTAATCTAAGCCCAAAGTGCATTGCAGGCATGGCCACAGTTCTGTGCTCCCAGGAAAGAAAGTGCCTGCTCAGAAAAGACATAAATTTGCAGTGAATCAGAACAACAGCTCGCAGAGGATGGAATCTAGAACTGAAAAAAATGCCCACCTAAATCATAGCTGGATTTTTTTTTAAGATCTTAAGACCAACTCCTCAAGCCTGCAGATAGTGTCTGAGTACATACAGCCTAGGGACATATGTGGTCCAAACCACAGTCTGTATCTCCTTTGATGAAACCACATTATTCAGACACTCAGGGTACAAAGGTGGAAGTGATTTAGCCAAATCAATGGTTTTCCCTCCCAATATGGGTCACTTTCTGTATACTGACCTAATCACTTTCCCACTTGTTTATGTACTCATAGGCAAAACAAAGAAGTAGTTAAATTAGCAAAAACCAGTACACAGCCGAAACCGGTTTGGCTTAGTGGATAGAGCGTCAGCCTGCGGACTGAAAGGTCCCAGGTTCGATTCCGGTCAAGGGCATGTACCTGGGTTGCGGGCACATCCCCAGTGGGGAGTGTGCAGGAGGCAGCTGATCGATGTTTCTCTCTCATCGATGTTTCTGGCTCTCTATCTCTCTCCCTTCCTCTCTGTAAAAAATCAATAAAATATATTTTTTAAAAAATCTTAAAAAACAAAACAAAAAAAAACCAGTACACAAAGGCCCACTCCTTCCCTGGGAGCCTAAACAATGTGTGAACAAAAACAAGGAATCTGCAAAACTAAAGGTTTCTCTCCTCCAAAGAATATAACAGGAAAACTTTATTCTGATTCTCCTTCCTCTAATTTATTGTACCTTTTGCTTTTAGAACTTGCTGTTTCTTAAGTAAAGAAGATTCCGTGAGCGTAAGGGTGAAGAGGCAAAGAACTCACCAACGACTTGTCGATGATGCAGAACATGTAGGCATCGTGGAGCAGAATGTGCATTGGTCTCTTGGGATGAAAACTGATGTGTGTGATGGGAGTATCCCTTTGGAGCCAAAGGTAATGAAACCCCTGCTTCTGGATGGTCCGGCTCCACTCTGTATACTGTTTGTCTGGGATGCTATATTCAAATATCTGAGGAAGAATATTATATGGAAGGAATGCTGGCTCATATCCAGAAAGACCAGAAAATATCTATATAAATTTTGAATATGCCATGTTCAGCCTTATGCTTTCTCACTCTTTTTTTAATAAAAGAAATTTAAGGTAAATTACAGACTAAATAATAAAACAGCATAGAAAGGTTTATAATGAAAAGTCACCCTGTAATCTTTACATCTCTTCTCCCCAAGACAAAAGTAGCCTTCTATTTTTCTTGTTAACATCTTTTCAGACATTTTATGCATACAAGACACACAATGACTCACATCATAAGTCACTCATGCCCCTTTGAAGAACACTCACTTTTTGGATGTACATGATTTACTTGTCTAGTCTGTTTAATAGACATTTAGATTATTTCTAATCTTTGGCTACAACAAAGAAGGCTGCAATGATTATCTCTGTATCAATGTCCTTCTGTACAACTGAAAGCATATTATCTGTAGGAAGAACTTTTAGAATGGGAACTTCAAATCAAAGATGATGTGCATTAAATTTTTTTTATAGATATTGCCAAAATGTTCTCTAAAGAAGTCATACTAATTTCAGCAATGTCTGAAGTGCTGTTTCCCTATACTCACACCATGTGTATTATCACCTTTATTGATCTACCAGGTACATAAACCTCTCCCACCAGTTTTAATGACTGAAGAACTTATGGGATCAACTGCCAGTAAAAGGAATCAGGTGGACATGGTCCTTATATGTGACAAAGGAGGTGGCTTCACTAATCTTCCAGTCTTTGGTTAAGGACACACATCTATGAAACTGAAAAGAGAGATTTCATTTTTTTTGGCTAGAATATATATGTGTGTGCATGTGTGAGTGTAAAAACTACTAATCAAAGTAGTACACACCATTTGCCTGGAAGTCTACTTAAATGTGCTTCTCGGATCACATTTAAATCTTTCCAGTGAGGAAGGTATTATCATGTCCATTTTTCAGATGAAGTCAGGATAATTTCAGAGTATGTTCTATAGCTCAGGTATTTTATAGATCTTTTTAAAACGACAATCTTCTCACAACTTAGTATGGGAAAAAGCAGTAAGCTAAGCACTAATTTTGGCTGATATTAGGTACCCGATTTCCTCACCTGCAAAAGTGAAGGTTAATTATATTATTTTTTAGTCACTTTCAACTCTCAAAATCTTATTCCATCCCATATCCAGTCTAACACCAGAGTCCATGTTCTCTCCAGTCTAAAAGGACCTTTATATCATCCAGCACTTTCAAAGAAAAAGTCTTCCAAAATTATCACCTCAGCTTCTAAGTTACCATCCAGCAAAAAGGAATTGGAAAGCACCGGAATCTCTCACCTGCTGGTCAGAATGAGCGATGACCAGGTTGTTGGTTTTGGGGGCTATGGCCAGAGCAGTCACAGGGAAATTGTAAGCAGGAACCGTGCAGTGAAGCTGGGAAGAAGCAGACACAAAAGGCAACTCTATGTAATACCGGCACCCAGGAAAGACGGGATGGTCTAAGTCGGTTGTTTTTAAACAGCATTCCCTGGAACTCAAAGGGTCCTATGGAAGTTCCCATGACAGGCATTTCTCCAAACAGTAAAATTTAATCTCATTAAAAAAACCATGTTTAACTGCTTCCAAAACTGACAGCATTTGCAAAGTAAAACTGTCCCTACTGTCCTGGTATCAACGTAAACTGATCATAAACATGTCATTAACCGGGGAATCTACATATCCATACTGGATTTAAAAAATCACTGCTGCCCTGGTCGGTGGTGCAGTGGTTAGAGCGTCGGCACCTGCACAGAAGGGTCACGGGTTCGAGTCCCGATCAAGATAATCTGGGTTGCAGGTTTGATCCTCAGCCCAAGTTGGGGCAAGTGTGGGAGGCAACCAGTTGATGTGTCTCTCTCACATTGATGTTTCTCTCTCCTTCTACTCTCTTGGGAAAGCAATGGAAAAATATCCTCTGTAAGAATTAACAACAACAAAAAAGAAGGAAATCAATGCCTAGGCACGGACATTTATGTTCAATTGCAAGGCGTGTGCACCACTACAGGACAGTCTTAAATGTGAGGCAAGCCTCGAAGAGCAAGCAGTACATACTATTCCCACATTGTAATAAAGATTAAGTTGTGTAGTTAACAGGCAAACCCATTAAATGCAACAATCTGGCATCCTATATAATAAAAGCTTAATATTCAAATTGTTCTACTGGGAGTTTGACCGCTCGCTATGACGAGTGCTGACCACCAGGGGGTGGCAGAGAACATTGCGGGCATTGGCGACATGGCGCTGGCAGCGGACGGAAGTAGAGGTGCTGCTGGCCCTGACGAGAGTGGGCCCATGGCAGGATGGTAGAGCAGGTGAAAAGGCGGCACCAGACCAAGGTGGGCGCGCGCGGGGGCCTAACAGTCCTGCTGACTGCTTGGGGGGAGGGGGGGCTGCCGCCCAGTTCCCAGATACTGAAGGAGTGTGTGTGTGTGTGTGTGGGGGGGAGGCCCCAACCCTGACCAATTGCCCTACAGATGGTGACTAGCGGCTGGCAGGGGAACTGGGGGTGGGTGGTGGCAACCAACCTCCCGTAGCGCCCAGGTCAGGGGCTGCGACCTCTTGCCGGCTACCTGGGGGCAGGGGTGACAGGGACAAAGGTGAGAATGCGGGGTGTCCGCCAAGCTCGCTCTCACTCCCCCTGCTACCCTCCACCAGGACACCAGGGCTCGCATGCTGGGGAAACCCATGCACTCAGGTGCCAGGTGTCCACGAGGAGCCCGCCCCACACCCGCGTGGCCTCTTCCGGGTGAGCCAGGCAGCAGCCTCTGGGACCACAGAGGCCGGTCGGGCTCTCCGTGGGTTAGCCCAGGAGCTGCTGTGTGAGGCTGGCCCGGAGAGAGCATGCTGCTCGCCTGGCTTCCATGTGGTGCTGCTGGGCAGCCCAGAGGCCCACACTGTGCCCCAGCCCATGGCATCCAGCCACGCTCACCACATTTCCACATGGGGACTCGGCACTGTGACTCAGGCCAAGGGGGGCACGCAGGGGACAGGTGCTGCCCAGGGCCGAGGTCAGCTTCAATCACTGGCTAGGCCTAGGGACCACACCTGTGTACAAATTTCGTGCACTGGGCCTCTAGTTGTTCTATAAACTTAATGCTTGTCCCAAGTTTTGGGTGGTTCTTATCTGACTTTTATGATGAAGATTTGTAAGGGACCACTAGTGCTTCAATGAGTGAACGACAATATCACTACTGATTCATGAAAAATGTTTTCCTGCTATTCCTTTGTTAAATTTCTGGTTCTGTTTAATTTAAAACATACCTTGAGATTACAAGGCAAACTATTAAAACGAAATTGTTACTACTTGTAACTATTCACCTTGGTAAATAAAAAATTTCCTCTCCAAAATACAGAAATAACCTAGATGTTGACTCATCACCCATAAATCCTTAATTTCAAATTTCTGTCCACGAGTGGCTTCAGTTCCCACTGACTCATTTTAATATGGTAGATTATAGCTTTTAGATTCCAAACAAGTAAAACAGGAAAACTTCTTGGTTAAAAAAAAAAAAAAAAAGCCTAGTAATTTTCCAGGTCATATCAATGAGTCTTAAAACTGCAGGGCTAACTTCTTTTTTTGCTGCTACTAAACCCAAAGCTCACCTTTAGACGTTTCACATTGTACACGTGGACTCCAGCACTGGTGCCCGATGCAGCTAACCAATTCCCATCTGGACTGACCGCCAAAAGACACATGGACTCCACTGTCCCTGTGAGGACAGAACAACAGTTAAGTCTGAATTTAATGTCCACAGCCAGCCCTGCTTTGATGATGGCAAAAGCCAGTAAGACCCTCAGTTTGAAATTACTAATGGGATTTCCTTTTTAAAAATACATTTTTATTGATTTCAGAGAGAGGAAGAGAGAGATAGAAACATCAATGATGAGAGAAAAATCACTGATCGGCTGCCTCTTGCAAACCCCACACTGGGGATTGAGCCCACAACCTGGGCATGTGCCCTGACCAGAATCGAACCATGATCTCCTGGTTCATAGGTGGACACTCAACCACTGAGCCATATAGGCTGGGGATTAGGATAATTTCTTGATAATTCTGCAAATAAGTTCTAGATAAGTTAATCTATATTCATTTAATAACCACTCTTCATATAAAGAGGAGCCTGAGAGATAAACATGAAGGCATCACTTGCTCAGGCCTGAATCAGACACTGCCTACCATAGGAAACTTCGTTTTAAAATCCTTCTCTACCAAGTAGTTTTTTTAAAAATGTATTTTTATTGATTTCAGAGAGGAAGGGAGAGGGAGAAAGATAGAAACATCAGTGATGAAAGATAATCATTGATCAGCTGCCTCCTGCACACCCCCGACTAGGGATTGAGCCTGCAACCTAAGCATGTGCCCTTGACCAGAAATGAACCCAGGACCCTTCAGTCCACAGGCCGATGCTCTCTCCACTAAGCCAAACTGGCTAGGATTCTACCAAATAGTTTTTAATCAAAGTTAGGAACAAATAGCCAATTCAAGAGGCTTGAAGCATATCTTAAATTTATTGAGCTGCTTGCTATATATTTAGCACTAAGGGAGCATGGGCACATATGAGCCATCTTTGTCATCAAAAGATTTTAAACCAATCTGGCAACATAAAGACTCATGTGGGATAAAAATCAGACAGTGATGCTAAATGCCAAAATACATGCTGCTATAACACCCCCAAACGATGAAGAAGCTCTAAAGCAAGACATAAGCCAGATGCTACAGGATGGGTGAGGTAGGTAGGAAAAGACGAAGAACAACATGAGCTAAGTAACAAGAACTGAAATACACAGGTTTGAAGGCTGTGAAGAAACCAGCCTGACTCTAAAGGGGAAGTGACATGAGAGAGAAGAAATAAAAGTGTGTGTGTCTGTATGATGCAGAGCCTAATTTTAAGGGATGCTAAATGCAAGATAAAGAGTCTAAGTTTTATAATAAAAACATACAGGTACTCATTAAAAACTGGCAGTTTACTTTATCTGATTACTATCTTATGGGTTTCTTTTCCTGCATGCTTCTGAAGCAGCTTATGAACAGTGAGAGTTTAAGTTAAAAGAGTTGACTTTTGTCCTGGCCGGTGTGGCTCAGTTGGTAGAGCGTTGTCCTGTGCACCAAGTGATGGCTGGTTTGATTCCCGGTCAGGGCACATGCCCAGATTGCAGACTTGATCCCTGGTAGGGGGCATGCAGGAGGCAGCCGATCGATGTTTCACTTTTACATCAATGTTTTTCTTTCTCTCTCCCTCTCTCTCTAAAAAATCAATAAAAATATTAAAGAGAAAAAAGAGTTGACTTTCCACACTGATTGAGTCTAAATGACAGTGAAGCTACTATAATCCAGGGTGAGGAAGAAGGGAAAAGGCCCATGGGAAGTATCCAAGAAAACTACCAGCTTAAATTAAGCTGGGTGACTAAGTCCTCAATAATTAACTCAACAAGTTAACTACAGAATCACTTATTCGTGCATACTCATTCATGTTCTCAAAGAACAGGAAAAATGGTGATGAACTTTATATGACAGGTAATGAAACTGTATGTGTAAGTTCATCTTTATAAAAACAACCAAAAAATTAACATGTCTATAAAATGCATACTATCTACACACACACTGGAATATACAAACATATTAACAGTAGTCAGGATTATAAATTATTTTAACGTTCTTGTTGCCCTGCTAACAAAAACTCTTCTAGGGGTGATGAAACTTCTCTGGCCCCAAATAAGGAATCAAAAGCCCAGTGAGAAAAGAGTAGGTGTGAGGAATATTTCACATCTCATCAACGTTTTTATTTGCCAGATATCTCCTCCTACTTTAAATTGCAAACATGTGAGTGAATGTACTTGCAGGGTGGAGAAGAGTATTAGTGAATACCCGACAATGAATAAGGTTTAAAAGGAAAAAATAGATACACCAGAGGCTGACAATTCTCTCCTATGGCCAGTTACCAAATTCCTACCTGACTGAGCCTGAAAAGTATGCAGGTGCTTGAAGCTTCCTTCCAACAGCCGAAAGATATGCAGAGACCCTTGATTTGAAGCCACAAAGAGCTTTGTTGAATCTTCAGAAAACAAAATCTGAACAGCAGAGCGAAGGAACGCTGGCATTTTGGAAACCTTGGGGTGAACCAGTAGTAAAAAACCAGTAAGAGAGAGAAGTGAGACCTAGAGGCCATCAATAGTAATCATAGCCAGCCTTAAGTTACATTAATGCTTCCTGTGTCTAAGGAAGCCAACTGATGAAGGGTCTGGGACACTGACATGTCTAACGTAACCTATACACCCCTGCCTCCTTTATCTCTTCAAAAGCCTAAACTTCACTGCCACTTTCTGGCATTTCCCTACTCTTTCAAAAACAAAAGCATATCAAAGTGGAAAAAATAAAACACTTTTTTTGGTAACAGCTGTCTCCAAATACCTTTCACTGAGTAAGGATTCATATCCAGTGCATTCCCACTTCACACAGAAATTCACTTATGAATTTTCTTCTTGCTCAACCAGACTTTGGGTTATCACTTACCCTGTGGAGGCTTATGTTGTCATGTTCATAATTCAACCGACAGAGAAAAAACCGAGAAGCTGTGGCATACGCTATCCAACTTCCACATGGGGATAAACAGCTGCAAATAATGTTCTCGGGACCCTGCAATGTTAGGAATCAGATGAATGTTCAAGTAAAACTTCAGACAACGATGTTCTCTGTGACATGAATCCCCAAGCTGTCGTCACTCTGGACGTGCCCACAAACACCTACACATAATCCTGACAGTTATATACTCTGTGTCACTATGATTATGCCAGCAGTAGAGTACCTAAATGGTGTGGCTTTGGTTTCCAAGAGCTGAGGTCTATGAATGAACTAAATGCTAGTAATCTCAGCCCTTGTGTACCTCACAGGTAGCTTCGTACTAAACCCTACCATTAGAAACCTGAGAAGAGAGGCACTTCATGCAGGAAAGCTTTGGAGGCAAGGTGACTGGGAGCATTCATTTTATTTGTTTTAGGACAGTCTACTGTAAAGATCTCTAAGAAGACCTGTCCTGGTGGCTCAGTTAGATGGAGCATGTCCTGTAACACCAAAGGCTGCAGATTGGATTCCGAGTCAGGGCACATACCCAGGGTACAGATTTGATTTGATCCCCTGTTGGGGTGCATATGGGAGGCAAATGATCAATGTTTCTCACATCAATGTTTCTGTTTCTCTATCTCTTCCTCTCTGTCTTAAAAAAAAAAAACTTCAATAAAAACATATCCTGGGGTGAGGATTAAAAAAACGGGGGGGCCTCTAAGAAATAGTAAGTGAAAAAATTTGCAGAACAAAGGAAAAATGTGTGACATTTATATACTGCAAAAAACTCACAAAATGTATCTAAATGTATGAAAATATGTATGTACCACATACTCTCTCACACAAAGAAGATCTGGAAGGATACATTACAGCTAGCCAATCAACAATTATTTCAGGAAATGGGAAGAGAATTAAAGAAGTGGATGAGGAAATAAACTATCAATGTTGCTTGAATCTGTTACAGTAAGACTGTATTCACAAATATTTGTGTAATTAAAATAAAGGTTTTTTTAAAGAACACAAAGAAGTTTGCATAGGAGATTCCCATTATTGTAAAAAGAAAGGGCATATGCACAAATGGGTGGAAATTTTTTTCCGGAAGGATATACAAGAAACTATTGGCAGTGATTATCTCTGGAGATAAGGCCCAGGGATTTGGGTTTAAGAAGGGAGTTCAGCCCTAGCTGGTTTGGTTTAGTGATAGAGTGTTGGCCTGCGGATTGAAGGGTCCCAGGTTCGATTCCAGTAGAGGGCACATGCCCGGGTTTGGGCTCAATTCCCAGTAGGGGGCGTACAGGAGGCAGCCAATCAATGATTCTCATCATTGATGTTTCTACCTTCCTCTCTGAATTTAATAAAAAAATATTTTAAAAAAGGGAGCTCATCTTTCATTGCATACTCTTTTGTACCATTTGAATTTTTTTTAAAAAGCATATTATTTTCATAATAATACAAAAAAATAAAACCCATTTCCTGTATTCATCCACCCAATAAATTCTAAATGTCCAACATATAATCACGGGGAATCCAGTTCTGTTTACACAGTATTTCATTCAAATTATTTTAGATTTTATACAGTTAGTGATGTCAACTAAGTAATCCTCAAAATTCAAAAAATCAGCAGGAGAAAATGCTCTGGATTTCAGAGACTGTACACATACAGTTAAACTTCCTTACCTTTGTTTTGAGGTGCAGTAAATGATCTGCATCTTTAGAGAGTGGAAGGGTATCCCCATGTTTTCCTGGAACAAGAAATTTCCCTGAGGTTTTTCCTCCTCAAAGAAAGGTTGTTTATATTTTTTCTTCTAAAAAGTCATTCCTGGATAGAATGGAATCTCTGCCAGTGACAAATCAGGAAACTATCTTCATAAGCCTACCATTTTCTGGGGAAAGCAGTGAACATTCTCTTCTCTTTGGATGCCCTCCATGGCTGTGGCACATCACTAATTTGCTGAAGCTCAACACCACAGCCAGGCATGTAGGTGGGTGAAAGTGGAGTTTCTGGTTTGTGTGGCCTCAACTTCATTTGTTCGTTTTGGAACCTTATTCCAGTACAAACATAGTCGAATATAAAACAACAGAACCTAAACATTTCCTTACAAGTCACACGGAAGGCCACTAGGCTGTCACCCTAGTAAGATCCGTGTGACCTCCTGGCAGGGATGTCACTAACCAATATTAAATCCTGCCATTTTTTGACATCCTATTTTGATCCCAATCAAGCCATAGCAAACGATTCCACAAGCCTTCACACCCACTATTATCCTGCTACCACCACCCTTTCTACCATACAGAGCTGTACACTTTTAACAGACCTAACACTCAGAAGAACTCCTCTGCTCCATCTAGTGGATGGGAAACCATGAGTTCCAAAGGGCACAGAAAAATCTACTTCCATTTTTCCATAAGCAGAGTATCAATTGCAATTCTAATTTTTGGCTTCTCTCTTCAGTTTTTTTCCTAGAAAAGTCTTGCTCCCATCTTACCTGTTGCAACTGTAGATCCCAGTCGCCAAAGATCCAAGTGATGAGAAAACTGGAAGAGGAGAAGCTGTCTCTTTTTTGAACAGGAAATGAGACGTCGCTGTACGCAAGAATCGAAAAGTGATAAGTAGGTCGGGGTCATCTACTGTCTCAGTACGAGATATAGCAGCAGCATCTTAGCACAGTTTTTACTGCTAAAATCCATCTGCCTGACAAATATTCCCTACATAATACCATATTCCAGGCACTATCCTAGGGTCTAAGAGCACAGTAGTAAATAAAAGCATACCTACCACTCTCAAGCTCATAGACTAAAGGGTTGATACAGAATTAAACAAGCAATTACACTAAGTGTGCTAAGAACTGTAACATGGCTAAGCACAGTATGTAACAAAAAAAGCACCAAAGTCTTACAGATTTACTCAGAAGTGTGAGCTATGCTCAGAGTGTTGTGGGACAGGGGAATGGGAAAATGAGGAGATAGTGGGGGTTAGGGGATGATACTTACATGGGGAAAAGTGATTTTTCGGAGAGCAGCATCATAATTCTTTACCTCCACTTTCTCCATGAGAGGACGAATGACTAAGTGGGTGTCAGTGCCTGGGGGAAGGGAGGGAGAAGAGAGAAGACAACAGAATTAGAAAATGTCCTGCATGAAAACAAGCAGAGCTGGGCAGAGTAAAGCAGCAGCTGGCCGAGAGCAGAACCCACCTCCAGATATCAGTGCTGTCGGGCTGTGGGCCACGGTTCGCACGTCGTGAGTGTGATGCTGGAATGGCTTTGTCCGCACCCACTGCTTCTCGCTGCTGTTGGAAGTCACAGAGACCAGCTGAAAATGGAAGACTGTCCCCTCGGCTGTGCCCACCACGAAACTGTCTTCTTGCTGAGAAATTAAATCATCGAGGTACATTTGAGCAAAACAGGGCCCACTTCGAAAAAGATTTCCTAAGGTTGTCTGTCTGGGCAGCTTAAGGGAAAACGTATGCCCAGAATTGGAAGGTCAATTCCTAGACAGGAGCAAGCTCACTCATATATATTAACACACCCCTACTGGCACAATTAACAACATGTACCTCAACCAGTTACAGAGCTTTCATATATACAAACTAGACCTCATTTGAAATTCAATACAAAAGATAAATTTAACAAGAATTGTGCTAGGCCTATAAGAGGAAAAACATTTAAGTCCTCCTTAAAGGACATAAAAGATGACCTAAACAAAGAAATCCATACCATATTCTTGAATGAGAATATTTAACATGATAAAAATATTAATGATTGTTAAGTAAATTTTTAAGTTTTATATAACCCAATAAAAATACTGATAGTCTATACCTGGAATGAAAAAAGTTGTTTCTTAAATTCACATAGAATAAACAGAAAAACTTAAAAACCAAACACAAACCAACCAATCCAAGCAAGAATAGTAATGAAAATATATTCTCAAATATTTGGAAGCAGGGACTCAAACAGAAACATGAACACCAGTGTTCATAGCAGCATTATTCACAAGAGCCAAAATATGAAAACAACTCAAACGTCCATCAATAGATAAACTCAATGAGGTGTTTCATTCAGATAAACTCAATGGAGTATTATTTAGCCTTAAAGAGGAATGAAATTCTGATGTTACAACATGGATGAATTTTGAAAACATTATGCTAAGTAAAATAACAAAGACACAAAAGAACAAATATATGATACCACTCATGAGGTACCTAGAATAGGCAAATTCATAGGGACAGAAGGTAGAATGGAAGTAACCAGGGGCTGGGAGAGGAGAGGAATAAGGAGTTATTCTTTAATGGGTGATGAACAAGTTCTGAAAATGGAGAGGTGATGGATGCACAACACTGTAAATATTCTTAAGGTCACTGAATTATACACTTAAAAATGGTTAAAAAAAGCCCTAGCCGGTTTGGCTCAGTGGATAGAGCATCAGCCTGCGGACTGAAGGGTCCCAGGTTCAATTGTGGTCAAGGGCACATGCCTGGGCTGCGGGCTTGATCCCCAGGAGGGGGCATGTGGGGAGGCAGCCAATCAATGATTCTCTTTCATCACTGATGTTTCTATCTCTCTCTCCCTGCTTCTCTGATATCACACACACACACACACACACACACACACATATATGAAAATACAAGAATACATTTTCAAAAAATGGTTAAAATGGCAAATTTTGTTATGTAGATTTTATCACAGTAAGAAAGATTTTAAATGTAAATAAAGTGCTAAGAGCATAGCCTGGCTGGTGTGGCTCAGTGGTTGAGCATCGACCCTGAACCAGAAGGTCACGGCTCGATTTGGGTCAGGGCACATGAGCCCGAGTTTTGGTCTTGGTCTCCAGTACGGGGGTGTGCAGGAGGCAGCCGACTGATGTCTCTATCTCTCTCTCCCTTTTCTAAAATCAGTAATAATATATTAAGAAAAAAAAATGATTCAGAGTCCAACTTTGAATGTGAAGAAGTTTTAGGAATACCTTAATCACTTTAAGTCAGTTATACTTTCCTTTTTATATATGCATAAATGATATCATAAAAACTTATGGTTAAGTCTCAAGGAGCTCTTCAATAAGGAAAATATAACTTCTATGTTTAAAAAAGCATTGTGTCATTTTATATTATAATAGTTTATGTTATATGCTTATACTATAAAATACACATTTTACTTTACAAAAAAAGCACTATGGCATAGTTTAATTGGCAATGTTTCTTCTTTCTCATGATAACAAAAAAAATTTATGGAATATTTTACAATAATTTATATCAAAGAGTCAATGCAATGTAGTAATATAGGCATATGAGAGAATATCAAACAGTATAAAATGGTATACAATACAAATTAAGCCTGCCTCCCACTGACCCCCCACAATTTCCCTCTCCAGAAATTATAATTTGAGTTTTAAAAATCTTCTTAGAGATATTTATGTATGTATATACATATATATACTAGCATAACTGCATATACATAAAATACTTAATACATAAATACCTAATATATGATATCTAATATATAAATCTGCCCCTTCTTCTCTTAATACACTATCATGTCCTATATTATACACTATTATGCTATTCTGTTTTCCCCTCTTAACAATATATTCTGAAAATTGTTCCACAGTAGTCAATATACACCTTCCTTGATCTTTGAAACAGGTGCATATTTGAGTAGGTACAGTTAAAATGCTACTAAAATTAATAATTAAGTCTTAAATCTAATAATTACAACCATTTTAGATTGACTCCATTTTTTTTTAAAATATATTTTATTGATTTTTTTACAGAGAGGAAGGGAGAGAGATAGAGAGCCAGAAACATCGATGAGAGAGAAACATCGATCAGCTGCCCAGGTACATGCCCTTGACCGGAATCGAACCTGGGACCCCTCAGTCCGCAGGCCGATGCTCTATCCACTGAGCCAAACCGGTTTCGGCAAGACTCCATTTTCAAAAGATAATTTCTCCCACTCATTTCAACTTATACTTTTTTTTTTTTTTTTT